GGCAGGGAGTCCGGCCAAGATGCGACAATTGCCGCGTAAAAAATCCAGATTTTTTTCGCAAAAAAGTTCCTCATCGCGGAACTATGCTTTAAGAGGCCGAAATACTTTTAAATGGAAGTGGCGGGCTGCGAATTTCTGCTTTAGTGCCTGATTGCTGGCACTTGTTCATGCCCATGTGTCACTGTGCACGAAGCCTTCTCACTCATTCACTCACTCACTTTGAGGTCAAGGGAAATGCCCATGTAGTACCCGAACGCATCAAGATGTTCGAAGGCATTCGAAGGCGCATTGCACGTCCAGGGCCGTCAACGTTGCTGTTGGTCACTGTAGGGATACAGTCCCGAAAGCCACGAACAAAAAGGCAATAAGCCAAGAAGCCAGGAGACCAAGAAGCCCAGAAGCCAGCCGGCCAAAAAGAGAACGAGCCAAAAAGAAGAAAACATTGTATTTGCTCGTGCTTCGTAGCTAAAAGAACTGTATTTACCATGTCTGCAACCTCTCCCGCTCCGAAGTATTTTTTTTGTTCTTATAAATTGTTTTTGGTTGTTTGTTTGTTCGTTATTTGATGTCCGCTAACTTATATTTTGATGTTCGTCGATGTTTTACTTGACGACTATTCCCCCACGAGGGGCTGAATTTCAAAGGTGTGAGGGGGTTCCATGCAAGATTGACATTGAGTCAGAATGCAGGGACGGTTCCACATCAAGATTTTTTGCACGAGCGTCATTTTGAGTCAAACCACAACGACATTCCACACGAAAGCTTGATTTTGAAACAGCAAGGTGAGCATGCTCCACAAAATGGAGCTCCATGACTGTTCGAGGCTGCCAAGCGTCGGATGAACCCGGCTGGCACCGTTGCGCGGAGACCAGCTCAGGGTACATGTCCCGCCGTTTTCGTCGGGCGTTTGTTTGTAATTACTCCGTTTCCCCCGGGTCAAGGTCAACCTAGTTGGTGTTACCTGGCCTTTGCGGATTCCTGGTCAGTCGGTCAATCCGTCGGTCCGTGGGTTGGTCGGTTGGTGGTTTCTTGGCGGTCGTTTGGTGGGTCGGTCGACCGTGTCGGTCGCGGTCGGTCGGTCGCGGTCGGTCGGTCGCGGTCGGTCGGTCGTGGTCGATCGGTCGCGGTCGGTCAATCAGTTGGTCGGTCGGTTGGTCACTGTTTTTCCTCGGTCTGGTTGTATTACCTGGCTTTTTCCGGTCAGTCAGCCGGTCGGCTTGTCAGCCAACAGAGGTGACTCCGCATTAGCGCAGTTCCATCCCCAACGCTTGCCACTGGGAATGGTGGTTCACAAAACTTGGTAAACATAAAATTTGTTTAAGCTTCAATTTTGCCATTATATGCGCATACAATTTGGTTGGGCGTCCACCAACACGGTTTTTTTTGATGCGTGGGCAAGGGCCCTACACCGTGGCAAGCGGGAAACAGCAGATTAAATCCACCAACCGTCCCGCCACCAAAAGTGCATCAATGCTTCCTCGTGTGGAAGGGAATGCAAATTGCGCTGGCCATATGCCTTCATCCGCCCATGTGATGTGTGGTCGCTTCGGCAAATTCATGACAAACAGTTTGTACCCCGCAGACACAACAGCAATCGGACGATAATTCTCACACGTTTGAAAACAACCATCACCAATGCCTCATGCCACGCAGCCGGGGCCGGAACCTCCCCTCATTGCCAAATCTTGCTGCAAACAGCCACGGCCAATCTGGATGAATAAACACGCCATTGGCTGGGGATTTGTTCGGGGGAAGGGCTCGGATGTGGGACGTCCGGATTTTTTGCGCACTCCCGCAAGAACCTATATGTTTTGATGTTCGTCCAGATGGGTGGCGGGGCGTGCGCCCCCCAACCTTCACCATTCTGGAGAAAATTATTAATATCGTTGTTATTTTTCGCCTTGCTAGCAACACCTCGGGCAAAGCAGGGGCCAAAGGGACATCAGACGAGTCTTGTGTTGATTGTCCATGATTGTCTTCTCCTCCCTTGCGCGGTCAAATGCATGGTTCCAAGGTGTTCCGGGCGTAGTTCTCAGCGACCGGCCCCTTTAGGACTGAAAAACAAAACAATGCGCGGCAGTTGTCGGCCGAGCGCAGCTGCGGACTCAAAAGGCCAGCGTGCGCCGTGTGCCCATTCCACATTTGATAATTTTCCTCGCACCCCGAATAAAATGTTGTGTTGTCTACGGCGTCAAATGCTGGCAGCTGCCTGAAGTGGCAAATTCTGCTACCCGTGTACTTGCGAAACAGCATCCCGGCCCACTTGTGGATGCAAGCTCGCCAGGCGATGGTGGTTCGTGTCTCATGGACACTTTGCTTGCAACCGTCTTCGTGAAACAAACCCTTGCCGGCTGGTTATTGGCATCGGGCTCGCAAGCTGAGAGGGTGATTGAGGTCAAGTCAAGTCAAGTCAAGTCAAGCCTGCATGCCATAAGCAACCCTTTGGGGGCGCGCAAGTAAGTGTGAAGGAGACAATCTTCAACAACGTGACCGAACAGCATGGAATGAAGCTCTGTGGATAGTGACAAGCATTCGTACCATACTGGAACAGTTGGCGCTGTTCCCGAATACTCTACAGATTGGTTGGCGTTTTCAGGCTGCGGCCTGGAATTCCCAGACGTGACCCAAAAAAAAGTCGCTGTTCGTGAAAGCGTTCGCAAGCGTTAGCGAATGTCGCGCACACGTCATCGACTTTTGGACTTGCTCCTCGTCTTTGCGTCACCAAAGTCTCCTTTTCACGGCGACTGCGGAGGCA